TTGATAGAAGCCGGCATCGGTACGACATTCTGTTATTTTTGAACGCATTATATACTATAAGATGTGTGGCAGAGACTATGTCCGGAATAGTCTGAAGTAACTTTGAAATATAGTTTGAAAATTATTTTACCAAATGAATACAGATAAACTTTCTAGCTATTCCTTGTAACTTTCATAATAGGATTGATCACACGCACACATAGTATACACACAATATGTATCGACACACACGTATATATTGAAATATGCGTATTTTTATATTACCAAATTACGTGTTATCATACATGTAGATGGTGATACACCATGGAGCCCTGTCTGTTTTTTTTTTTGTTTTGTTTTTTGTTTTCTTCAGTTTCAGTTTTATTCAGATCCACAATTAGCCTCATAAGAGGCTATTCTTACATATATTACAAACGTACAAAACATTACAAAATTAACAGTACATGGCAAACTTTACACAATTCACTATTTACAATCCAGTACTTTGCTAGTTGCCTATGTTATTCCACAGCTGTGACATCCTGTATATAAAGCGCTTTTTCTGAGAGTTTGATTTTGGTTTTGGTAGTCTGATTTTGTTTGTGCTAGTTGAACGTGTTCGGTACTTGTGAATCTGAGATTGGAATGTGATTTTGTCGTACAAGGCCTTTGGTTGTTTGGTGAGCATGATACGTTTAAATGTGACAAGGCTTCTCTGTTGGATTCTGTCCCTGACAGTCAGCCATCCTAACGTCTTTAGCATGGTGTCCACATGTGCATCCCGATCACAATCAAGAGCTAGCCTTGCTGGCCCTGTTCTGAACCACCTGTAGTCTTATGTTGTTCTGTGTTGTTTCCCCATACGGAGCAGCAGCTCCGTACACGGCATATATTGATGTTCCCTAAGCTTACCTTTATATGTATTATCACAGGAGACCACATAAATCATGGGCACCATAATGCTGGTGCTTGGACGGCTACGAATGACGCCCAAGACGAAGAAAACGATGAAGAGGACAACCCCGCAAACCACACATTCAACAACCAGGGATCAGAGGGCGAGCCCAAAAACAACACATGTGACAACCGGCCTTTAGAGGACCCAGAAAACCACACATACAACAACGAGGAGGACTTTCCGGAAAATCGCCCAGATAACCAGACGTCAGAAGCTATAGAAGAAGAACATACGTATGAAAAAGGCCCAGACGAGACTGAAGTATTGAAACCCTACAGATGTCAACAAGACCGAGTGGAACGCATGATCCCAAACAGGCTATATGAACAGTCTACTCAACATGAGGCCTCCGGTAAGTGTTTGAATAACGATGTCTTGATGATAAATGATGATAATTTCCATACATTTGCAAATTGCAATGGCACCCCACTGACCTCAGTACCTAATAGATGCAGATCTTTCATTTGATTTTCCACTGCACCCATTGCACCATACTTGCGCCATCTCTCCCGAACCCATAACGTTTTGTACACTCCTTCTTTATTTCTAGTAGATGGGTTTTCTAACTCTTGTTGATAAAATAACACACATGCTGGGTGCTGAAAGGATTTGGTAATGCAACTAGAAATTAATGAATAAGTCGATTTTGCGACTATCAAATCATACCACGAGGTTATTTTCCAGTGATTAAACAAAGCAATTTGAGGCAATCATATCAAAACATCAAAATAGTGTTTGGATCAAAAGTCTGACATTTTCAAGGGAATGCAAATTGGTTTTCAGCACTCGAGCTGATGTGAGCTTTTTTTAAAAATATACCAAGACCAAGATGACAATGAACAAAAGTCCATGCAACCATATTCTTATCTTCTAAAAAGGATTATAAGTTAACATATCTTTATGAGATACAAAAACTACTGAAGAGTACGTTTCAAATAGCATCAATGACTAAGAATATCACTGTCACTATTTAAAAGGTATGACTCTTCAGAGATTTGATCCGCTTGCTTTTTATTTTGGATTTTGTATTATACGTAATATTGGATGTCAATCATCGAAGTATACACTTTTACAGGCAGCCGCGATAGCGTGGAGGACGACAACAATGACGATGACAGTGAACGACGCAGTTTCCTGGCCAGACTCCAACATGTGGTGAAGAATGCCCGGGTCCTTCTCGTCTTTACCACCGTCCTCATCACCACTATCGTCGTCACCGCAGTCTTTCTCGCGATTATTAGTACTTTCCCACCAAAGGCAACTCAGCCACAGTCGAGCTCTCCATCTTCGTTTTCAGGCTTCATTACGTCTTCAACCGTTGCCATGGAATCTGTGACGTCCATGGCGCCTTCAACCGTTGCCATGGATCCGGTGAAGTCCATGATGCCTTCAACCGTTGCCATGGATCCAATGACGTCCATGGCGCCTTCAACCGTTGCCATGGATCCAATTACGTCCATGGCACCTTCAACCGTTGCCATGGATCCAATGACGTCCATGGCGCCTTCAACCGTTGCCATGGATCCAATGACGTCCATGGCGCCTTCAACCGTTGCCATGGATCCAATTACGTCCATGGCACCTTCAACCGTTGCCATGGATCCAATTACGTCCATGGCACCTTCAACCGTTGCCATGGATCCGGTGAAGTCCATGGTGTGCTCAACCGTTACCATGGCCATGGATGTGGTGACGTCGACGACCCAGCCTGACTGTGCCTCCGCCTGGCTGGCTGGCTACAAGACCTCAGGAGTCTACACCATCAAACCCTGGGATGGGGAAAGACCCCTGAAGGTCCCGTGCGACATGGACACGACAGGGGGCGGCTGGACGGTGTTTCAGCGCCGGTTCGACGGCAGCGTGAGTTTCGACAAGTCTTGGCGCGACTACAGGGACGGTTTTGGCGACGTGCGTGGCGAATTCTGGCTGGGACTGGAAGCCATCCACCAGATCGTGAGCAGGGAGACACACGACTTGCGGGTTAAGTTAGGCGATTGGGAGGGGAAGGAAGCGTATGAACTTTACAGTCAGTTCAGCGTAAGTAATGAGTCGGATGGATATAGACTTGGCTTGAGAGAATATAGCGGGACTGCGGGGGACGGGTTTGGTTTTGGTCAAGTATATACTATGTTTGACTCACCGGAAACACCGCTTGACTATCACATAGGACACACTTTCAAAGTTTCGAATACAGGACAGGGATGGTGGTTTGGCAATCATGGTTTCACTTTATCAAATCTGAACGGTGTGTATATGAACGCTACGGCTCTTAATCACAAAGTAGTTATCTCCGTTCACTGGAGTCCTTGGACGGTATATAACTTGAAGTCCGCCTGTATGATGGTACGGCCAGCTACATTCCCGTCTAAACAGGCGCCAGGGAGAGATCTGTAAAAATTTTAGGTACCGTATGAGTACATGGATTTAGGCACTGGCATGGTCTTGACCCGTACTTTAAAATGTGGGCAATCATCTATAAGTTGAACAAGTAGCAGACTGTCTTAAAGTTTGTAATGTTAATTGTTGTCATAATAGCTGTATATGGATTGCATATATTTAACCATGAGAAGTTACAAGTTCTCCTGATTTTGAAGTGATAAAATTGTCAAACTTGTCATCTTATATTTGAGATGACATTTAGAGATATCATTAGTATAAAACATTTATTTATCCATCTATTCAGTCAATAATTGGATGTGATTATGTATCATTGAATGAAAGACCTATCATTTCTTTGTTGTGTAGCTTTTATTAAGATCATCCGAGGTGTTACTTAAGTTTACTTTTTAAACATTATTTGACAATCAATTTTAGAATGAATATTTAGAAATGATCAACATTCTGGTTACATTGTATGTTATGTATCCTGTATGACTAGTATTTTGTAATCACTCTGCACGACGGGCTAGTACCATATAAGATAAAATAATTAGAATGTCAGCAAAAACTATAATTTTGTTTCATTTCAAGAAAAGTGACATAACAATGATTTTAATTTTTCTGACAATTAGATGTTAAGAATATGCTATAACTACTATAGATTTAGCATCTTTATATAATTTATAGTAGGAGGGATTTAGACTCCTGTCACCATATATGTGAATGTGTTTGAGTAAGAATTAACAGACCATATGCAAAGGTAAACATTATGCATTTGCTTTGCAAATGTCACTTTTCTAGTTCTAGTATGTACTACATGTGAAGGACCACATGAAGCGTAGCTGAATTGTCACAGTAAGTGAAAGAATAAAGTCAAAGTCAAAACTTGGGTCTGAATCTGTTTTCATTTTCATGATGATATTCCAGTTTGCCTAGTATGTTTTTCTAGGTCCAAAGAACAACAAATAATTATAATAATTGAATACTGCACACTGTTATAAACACCGATGTAAACTCCAAAGAGATGAAGACTTACTCAACAGGTCGTTCGCTATAATATAGCTAGCTGCCACCACGCCGCGTGCCTGCGAAGCTGGTTTGTTACACCGAAGGGCGGTTATACCGGCTAAACAGATACAGAAGCTGGTGTGTTACACTGAAGGGCGGTTACACCGGCTAAACAGATACAGAAGCTGGTGTGTTACACTGAAGGGCGGTTACACCGGCTATACAGCTACAGAAGCTGGTGTGCTATGCTGAAGGGCGGTTACACCGGCTATACAGATACAGAAGCTGGTGTGTTACGCCGAAGGGCGGCTATACCGGCTATTCTGATACAGATACTGCAAGGGACACACACTACACCAGTAAGAACACATTTAAGTGACATGGATACATGTACAGTTAACATGTCAGCTAGTGATCATGATTACCTAGAGGTACTTTTATTCTGAAAGGTACTTTTACTAGACTTTGAAGAAGATATGCTGAGGAGGAGCCTTTATTCTGAGTTGTAGTTTAACTTATGATTATTTCTTGTAGGGACCTGAGAGTAAGTGCTAGCCTGGGTGTCATCCTATTTGCCACGGGATCCTTGCACTTGATTTTCTTTGGGCTAGTAAGTGTAGCCATATGTGTGACAGGCTGAATAAAAGTTCTAAACGGGAACTATGCAGATGTCTTACTGAGGGACGACTGCGTGTGCGTGATGTTGGTTAGCTTGAGGAATGAATCCCCTCTACTGTGTATACTGCAGCCATATTGTGGGGTCGTGTGGCACAGCGGTAGCGCATTCGGCTCGGAACCTACAGGTCCAGGGTTCTATCCCTACCCATGTCACCAATCTTGTGCCCTTGGGAAAGGCACGAATTTCCTCACTTCACTCAGGTGTAAATGAGTACCTAGCTTCGGTTAGGGACGTCCGTCGGATAGGACGTAAACTGGAGGTCCCGTGTTTGAGGAGAGCCACACCTCGAGCACGCTAAAGATCCCACCACACCTTTTGAAAAAGAGTAGGGGCATGCTCCGGTGTGCGATGGTCCAAATTCTTCAGCCCAAATACTACAGTGTAGCAGAATCATCAGCAAGTTGATGTTGGCTACCTTAACCCCCAAGACCCAAGACCATATTAAAGATGATTTTGCATGTGTGCCCCCATCTTAGCACCGTTGGTGGTAAAGTACTGCCGACATTTGCCGCACATAATCGTGCCCTGTGCGCCCGTGTGAGTGTCCATGTGCGCGTCTATCTCCTCCCTGCTCGCTGCTACAAAGTCACAGTCGCCACAGGTGAAATACTTCACGTGTACCTTGACGTGTTCGTCCATTTTGTCTTCCTTGTTCGTACCAAAACCGCATTCGAGGCACCGGAAGGTCTTCTTGTGCTTGCTTGCGACGTGCATCCTGAGCGTGGTTTTCGACTTGGCGCGGTAGCTGCACTCCCCACATGCAAATGGTTTCTCCCCCGTGTGCTTACGCATGTGGATGTCTAAGCTAGTCCTGCTGAACGCACGATAGTTGCAAACTTCGCAAATCAATGCCTGCTCCTTCTCTTCCTTCTGATGGTCTCTCATGTGTTTTTCAAGATTGTCCTTTGAATTCAGGATGGCGTTACATTTCTTGCAGGTGTAGACATGGTTTTTGAGGTGTACGCGCATGGCGCGCCTGCAAGTTGTCCTGTAGCTGCAGTCCTTACATTGCAAAGACTTCTCACTCATGTTGTTCTTGAGATGACCTGTATGAATGAATGAATGAATGAATTTTTATTTAGTGTCTTGCAACTTTTGTCGCCCAGCTCATATGGGCTTATAAGAGACACCAGAACATAAACATAGGAACAGAAATCATAGAAACATAAATCCAAGTCCGCATCAAAAGGTCAGACTGGAAACATCAAATGAAATTAAAAAACTTAATACAAAGTTGTACATAACATAATCGGTACATAAGGGTCAAAAGTGCACAAAGTCAACTCAAATTGTCAAAAGTACATAAATGCAACTCAGAAGTACATAAAGTCAAATGAACTTAAACATGTGAACGAGTCCAGGAAAGAGAAACCCAAAGGATACTACGTCTTTAATATTGTACCCAATATAGTTAATGTTGTTAATGGAACCCCCACGCAATTAAGTCTGTGACTGCCATGTGGGAACCATTGTTAAGAGTTTTACATGAAACAAATAAAACAGTATAATAAAAAAAAAAGGAGGGAAAAATGAATAAAAGAAGTTTTTTTACGTTTTTTCCAGACTTGATGAATATATAATGCAATTTTAAAAACACATTCATTAAATAGCCAGTTTAGTTTTGTTTCATCCCTTTCCTAGATGATATTGGGTTACTTTATGTACATGTAAGTACCTGTAAGTGATTCCTTAAATGCTGACTTGTAGTCACACTGTCCGCACGTGAAGGGTTTCTCGTCCGTGTGGATTTTTACGTGTGAGTCGAGGACACTCTTCCAAGCTGTTTGGAAGCTGCATTTCTCACAGCGGTGAACGGTCTTTTCTGCGTGGTGAGTCTTCGCGTGTTTCCGCATATCGGCTTTGCACGAAACACTGTAACCGCATTTCTCGCACTCGAGAAGGCGGTCGCCCTTGTGGGCCTGCAGGGCGAGCTCGTTCCACGACTGAAACCCGCACACGTCGCACACGAACTTTTTCTGGTGAGTTTTCAAGTGCTTGCTCAGGTCGGTTTTCAACCGCGTGGTGTACCCACACTCGCCACACCACAGCGTACCCCTAGGGTGAACCTTCTGAACTGTTCTGTTGGCTGAATTTACATCAGTAGCGAGCCCTTCACTTGTTTGGCCCGAGACCATCTGTCCTGCAGTGCTGCTGCCATGCGTAACCTCCCCGTCCCTGCACAGTAAGAGGTCTCCAAGTTTCTCAGCATGAGAGAACATGTGGTACTCGAGCTGGAGCCGGTCGGCCGCTGAGTACTCGCACAGGAGGCAGAAACTTCTGGACCTCTGTCTTCCTCTGCCGGGCCTCCTGGTCTTGTGCATCTCCATGTGTTCTGCCATACCACTGTGGGAAGGAAGGGATAAAAGTGAAAAAAGGAATGAGAGAGAGAAAAACAAAGAAAGAAACTAAAGGAAGAAAGTGATTTCAAAAGAGTCTGGCTCACAGTAAAGGACTCCTCTTTCACAGGTTGCAATTGTGACAAGACAGAGAAGACAGATTTACAGGTTCATTGTACCAGGGAAATCCCCCTATAGTTCTTTTCAACAAGTGTAATGAACAGCAGACTCATGCCCAAAACATGCATGTCAGGTGAGTGACAGCTGGGATTGGAACTCCCAACCTCTTGGACCAGAGGTAGGGTCACTAACCCCTGGACTACACACTCTACTAGTGCCTTAATCATGTTTTAAAACCAAAGGAAATAATGATGATGTTGACTGAAGGAAAACATCTTTTTCTTGAGTAAAGTCAATGACCTGAACCAGACATCTTTCACCATGGTAACTAGTGTTGGGTTACATCATGTTGCAATTTTATAGCAGGAGGTATTTAGACTACTGTCACCATATATATGAATGTGTTTGAGTAAAAATTAACAGAGCAGACCATATGCAAAGGTAAGCATTTGCTTTGAAAATGTTACCTTTCTAGTTCAAGATATCATACCTCGGGGCTCGAAATTCATTTTTGAGAATAGGTGCACTGGTGCACCCAACCTAAAAAATTAGGTGCACAATTTTTTTTTCCGGTGCACCATATAAAACAAAACTTAATTACAGATCTTACTGCTCCTCTCCTGAGCTTGAATCTAAAATGAGAGCTAACTTTAAAATCTTAAACAAGTACTACAACAAAGATTTTATTATTTTTCTGACATTTAGATGCTAGGAATATCCAAAAATACCTACAAAAATATTTGGGTGCACCAGTGAACCCACAGAAAAATTTGGGTGCACAGCTCCAAATTTGGGTGCACTAAGGTGCACATGTACCCAGTATTTCGAGCCCTGTACCTGTGGCAGACTGTGTTGTAGCCACAGATCCTGCAGGTGAACTGTTGAGGCTTGCTCCTCAGGTGACTGGACATGTGGGACTCCAGCGCCCCCTGGTGTGTGGAGGTGAAACTGCAGAGAGGGCAGCTGTGCTGAGGCATCTTTGCACTGGGAACACTGCTGCCTGATGCTGCTGACATCTTCTTTGCTGCAACATATATGTGAAGCAAAGATTGAATTCAGGGAATGTCAGAATATTCACTCAACCTGCCCCCACCCACACACACCACACATACGCATACGCACGCACACACACACACACACACACATACACACACATACTACTAGTAAGTACACACACACACACACACACACACACACACACACACACACACACACACACACACACACACACACACACACACACACACACTGGAAGGATACCTTGAATCACAGATAAGAATATAAAGTTTTTATAAAAGTATAATGCCCCCCTCCCCTTCAGAAATTCAACATCTACTAGTATCATAATCTATATATGTATTGGATTTCAAACAGGGTTTGGACCAAAACCTGATATAGAATCCCTTCTGTGTGTGGAAGCCGTATGAGATTGAAAATCATCACAGGTGTACATCTAAGTGTACGGTGATTTAAGGGGGAAATCTGCTATCGAAAATGTTTCAGGCAGTAGTAAATGGTTCATACTACTACTATGATTCTTTTGTTGTTGTTGTCCTTGTTTAACGTCTAATATATAGCTAGACGTGGTCTCTTTGTGCTCGTTTTCGCATGTGCCGGTTCAGTTTAAATTTTCTCTCTCGGTATTTTCATAATTTCCTGTTACCAGCAAGGGGCGACCAGCAAGGAGGTGCCCCACCCCCCTCCCACCTAAACCTGAACCTGTAACAGTTACACACTTAAATACTGCGTTTTTCACAACGTTTGCTTGGTGAATCCCCCTAGAGATTGTTGTTGTGAATCTCCTGAACTGTTCTGTAGCCTTACCTAGGCCTTGAAAGACCACAAAAGTCCACCAAATCGGACGAAAGGGTCCGGATGTTGCTCCGATGATACCTCACGCTCTACCTGTGGGTCACCAGCGTAGAGGCCAAAGGTCATAGGTAACATTTGCGCCTGATGATCCAACCTGTGTCATTGTGTCAGCTTATTGAGGTCAGAGCAAGGCTGGGCCTTGAGCGTAATGAGAGAGCTTCCTAAAAGTTCGATAAATCAAAATAACTGTCGAACTTGTGGGTTTGACTAGTTTTCAAGGCCATTTATGTACAGTAGAAAAGGCAGGGCTCAACTGTTGAACTTCAGAGGCCACTGCATGTCCTTTTCGTAAGGCGTATTATAAATCAGGCCTTTTTAGTCTTCGTCATTCGTAGGCAGCCTCCCAAAACATCAACGTAATTCGTAATAGTACATAAGTCGGAAAGCGTGAAGCCGTAATCAGCTCTGAGACTTCAACTAAAAGGATAACACTCACTAACGAACCTATTTGTATAACTAGGCAACTGCGATCTGTCAACAACTTGCATAGCTATAGAACCCGTTTTGCTGCTAAACAGTCTTTTCTGTTAGACAAACCTAGAACCAACGCACGGAAGAAGTGTTTCATGTACAGGGCTGTTAGTGTGTGGAATAACCTTCCAATTGTTATGCAATCCACACAATCCCTGAGAGTCTTTAAGGAGGGTTTGCACAAATACCTCCATCAGTAGGTCACGAGCACTGTTCGACAGGATTGTCAGTTTTTTAAAATTATGTATATTGTAAATATGTTATTGTTTTAGATATGTTTGTGACTTGACCAGTTGTCCACTATGTTTGTATAATGTATCGTCTGTATGTACATGTATGAATACCAGGAAGACTAGCGGTGGACCCTAGGGTCCACCGCTAATGGTTATTCTAATAAAGTTTCAAAGTTTCAAACGTAATTCGTAATCGGCGGCAAAAAATTTGCGTCATCAGTGGTAATCACTACCCCCCGGATCAGCGGATCAAAACTACTTTTTCACTACTAAGATAGATAAAGGTAACCTTGTTGGCGCTGTCCTCTTGGACTTTAGTGCCGCTTTTGACGTTGTGAACCATGAAATCTTATTAGCCAAACTAAAAAGTTATGGCTTTGTCGATTCCGCAACTAACTGGGTTAAAAGCTACCTGGCAAACAGAACACAGGCCGTTTTCGTTAACGGCAGTGTTTCCTCTCACAGAGAAATCAAAAGCGGGGTACCCCAAGGTAGTTGTCTGGGCCCTCTACTATTTTGTTTATACACTAACGATCTGCCCACAGTCGTAAAACACAGTTCTGTAGAAATGTACGCTGATGACACTACCCCATCAGCATCAGGCCCTAACATATCGGAAGTACGGAACTCACTCCAGTCAGACCTGACAAACATCTGGGACTGGGTCCAAGCTAACAGGCTGGTGTTAAACTTGGATAAGACTAAGACCATAGTCATGGGCACCCGTCACAAACTCAAACAAAACCCACAACTTCAGCTCGTAATGGGTAACAAAAGCTTAGAACAGGTTGAGCAGGCGAAACTGCTTGGACTGTTGCTGGACAATCAGTTGACCTGGGCTCAACACACAGAGAAAGTTCAATCTAAAATGGCAAGTGCGCTGGCTGCTTTGACTAGATCAAGAGAATTTCTTACAAATGAAACGCTGAAAACAGTAACACAAGCACTTGTCTTCAGTCACTTGGACTATTGCTCATGCATAATGTCGGCCTGTCCGCAATCTCACCTTAACAAACTTCAGATCATTCAAAACAAAGCAGCCAGACTGGTGCTAAATGCCAAGTATAGCTCTAGCATTGACGATATGCACACACGCCTACACTGGTCCACTGTCAAAGAGAGGTTGTACGCAGGAACACTTTCAATGTTCAAGAAAATTCTCACAACCAAAAAGCCAGAATCAATCTACAAAAGATTACAGACAGTTAATGATATTCACCAACACAATACACGCCTAGCGCATAGGGGGGGCTTCAGACTGCCAAAACCAAGAACAGCCTCAGCCAAACGAACATTTCTGTACCGCTGCACTAAATCATATAACACACTTCCACAACACATCAGACTATCCGCACCTACATCGTTTAAGAAACATATCCGGGAATGGTTGAAAACTGTGGTGGACACCTCCAAACCCTTACAAGCATGGTGGTAGTAGAAATGTAGATATGTAAATATGAATCTTTGTCTAAATTTTATTTTTACGACCTCTGACCTCTCGGTACTACTTGCATGTTGTGTGTGGTTATGTGGTGTGTAGTTAAGCCTTACCATGTTGTGATGAAAGTAGTTTGTAGTTAACGACTCCAGGAAGAATAGTATGTATGGCAAATGATGTCTGTACAAACTAATGGAGATCGGTCTAATAAACAATAAACTGTTGGTCGTTGCTAATCTATTTGTACTCTGGTGACCCGTGTATTGGCCAATACTAACAAGGAAGTCAACAAGGAACTTGTCACGGTGGAAAACGCTTGTTCGGCGATCTCAAAAGTTTGTACTCGGGTAACCCGTGGTGTACCAGCCAATACTATAAACAAGGAAGTCAACAGGGAAATGTCACGGTACAAAACGCTTGGTCGGCGATCTCAAGGCAAGCTTCACTTGGAACCTGAGGGGAAGAACACAACTTAGCCTTAACTGGTAGGCCCGATCCGTATTCTTGTAGGCCTGGCTACTTGACCTACTTATTGGCAAGTACAAACAAGGAAGTTAACATGAGAGTTTGTGTTCTTCCCCTGAGGTTCCAAGTTAAGCGCTTCCTTCTTGCAGGATCGTCGACCAAGCATTTTGGACGGTAACAAGTTTGAGCTCAAACTAGCCTTAACTGGTAGGCCCGCTGATCGCACACAGATGCGAACTTATAATGCACTTTTTTTGCTATGTACGCTGAGTCTATTTGTACCGTGTACTGTAGTCTCTACCAGACTAACTACGCTGGCTATATATAGGAGAATATTTGCCGGGGGAGTTTGGCCGCCTTGGCTGAAAGGACTGTCAACATTCCGCGGACTGACTCCCCTGGCCAATTTTACTCTCCTTTTTGCCGAATTCTACGATCCGTATTCTCGTAGGGTAGGCCTGGCTACTTGACCTACTAACTGGAAAGTACAAACAAGGAAGTCAACAGGGAGAATGGCACGGTACAAAACGCTTGGTCGGCGATCCTGCAAGAAGGAAGCTCTACTTGGAAACTGGGAGGAACAACTCAAAACCCCTGAGCTGACACTTCGCGACTTCCGCTAGGTTTCAGACAAGCCTGACGGTGGGCACCTCGCCACACGTACCGCTCCCGTAGCCTGGAGTCCAGGCTTGTTATGCCCTTTTCCGTAGAGCGTAATCGGCCGTTTTAATTCTTAGTTCTATGTAGAGCGTAGACGGACCGCTCTAATACAACGTAGAGCGTAATTGGCGCATTTACGTAGAGCGTACTCGCCTTTTTATTTCCACGTAATGCGTAATATTAAATTATAGCCACTTTGAATTTAACGTAAAGCGTAATAGAGAGGATTCCTGAATTCTCAGCGTAATACGTAGCAAGCTCTCAAAATTTAGCGTACAAACCCCCACACCCATGCAGGCCCCCTGTTTGCTTTGGCCCGCCTTCCCGTAGATTCATATCTTTGGAAGCAGATTAGAGCTGACCGGGTCAAGGCTGGATTCGAGGCTACAACTTCCGCTGCCTGTCTACAAAAGCCGAGGCTGGCTCTGGCATCGGGCACAACTCCTCAGCGGCACTCGGACTGGCCAGACCTTCTGCACTGCTCACAGCACCGAAACAAGTACTTGTTTTTATTGTGTTTCTTGCCACTGAATTGTTTCTCTTTTCTGCTACTCACTTCTCTGATCTTCTCTGCTGCTACCTGAAACGTCTGGCCGTTTCAAAAATCATTTCCAGTTGCTTGAGTAACTTTTTGGCGTATCTTATGTAATACCTTGATGTCTACCTTCTACGACGTTCACTCTATTTTGTTTATCTGTTTTTGTATGTAATATTATGCATATGGGCAAGGGCCTGAATTATTTAAACATTAAAGAAAAGATTTAGCCCGGGTGCCTCCGATTTGCGACGGGACAACTTGCTTTCGATGTTCTCAGATCAGGCCAGCGTGTGCAAAGAGCCCCGAAGAAATTTAGGCGGCACCCGGGCTAAATCTTTTCTTTAATCTAGCAGCATGTTTACTTTAATGTATGAATTCATTACCTTAGCCTATAAGATTATCTTTTTGAAGACTCTATGAAGCTATCGGTGAATTGTCACGAACTACGAATGGCATATTATGTGTACGTGTTTAGGTTTTGACCTCGCTAAGAAATTATTAGATTTCGGACCGGCCTGGCGGCTTTCCTTAGAACTGCACCAGATTTTTTCGTTTAGATACCTCGTTCCCAAATACGAGTAGAGAATTTTGCCAATAACCAAAGGTACTGAGAGAAGACATAGAGAAAAATTCTGATCGAAATGTCACCAGGTAATAACTCTGGGACTGGGAGTGAGGGAAAATCAAACTTTGGGGAGGCAGTGTAGACATAAGGTTCTGCATGGGGTTACTGGCAACGCTTGACTTAGGATTTCAACGTGTGACTGTGTAGGTAAATATTTTTCACTATAATAAATAAATAAAT